TTCTGCTGAAAAGTCTGAGTTTGCAAGACTTTAAGTTCTTGAAGATCTCTAGCAATCACGAAGTTGCAACTGAAGTGTTTGAGTTTTGGATGGCCAATCGCTCTGGTGGTAAGCGTGTGAGTACAGGTTGGAGTGCTATTAACACGGCGAAAGGCGAAGAAGCAAGCAAGCACTCGAGTCTGTGTTGCATTGGGTTTTTGATCCTCGTCATAAGTCCGTCCCATGGCTCGATCTTCCAATCGACTTCTTGCAAGGCGGAGCGTGCATACATTAACACGAGGCTTCAATTTATTATGTGGAGAAAAATCTTTGTGAAGATTTGGTTGATACTTCTATAAAGTTTCTTAATGCGAGTATTGTACATACTTCCCACTTCTCATTCATACCAAAGTTTCTCACATAAAATAAGCTTTCATTCAAGCTCAAATAACAGGTATTTTGCATACACAGTAATCGTAATAACTAAAAGGAAAAGTTATAAGGCAAAGATTAGGATATCATGGTTTCAATAACACAACAAACAGAAAGCATATTATTTGGGAGTATATTGCTCCAATACTTTCAATGATTTTAAATGATTGTCTTATGAATTGTCTGTGTAAGTTCTGTGTCTTTGTCTGTGACAGGAGAAACGCGCGCTTTTCTGGAAAGTAGTAAAAGGATGCGTCCCTTTTTTGGAATGCAGGGGGGAAAGGGGAGGTGTCCTGAGGTCATGCCCATGTGACGAGTGTAGATCTGCCATCCTTCTGCTGGACAGGGAGCTCTTAATCTGTCGCTTTCTGTTTATCGGATTTAGCAATTTACGTGTCAAATGGTCATGGGGTCCAGGAGTGTCTTGTGCTGGAACTTTTCCAGATACCAGGTTCTTTGTTCTGTTGTCTCTTAGATAGTTAGTTATTTATGCTGAAACCAGCCACGTTACACTGCACCTCTGATCCTCGTGGGGTTTTCGGACAGGGGGAGTTCCAGTGCCCGCGAACATCGGCGGGCACTGGAACAAGAGGCAGAGAGAGAACAGGCACACACAAGACACAAACAACATCTCCATCACTAACTGAATCCTGGTGCAAGGTTTGGGTAATTTGGGGATACTTGGGTTAGGAACATTTGAGATGAGATGGGGGTGCATTGTTTAGGATTGTCTAGAATTGGGTCGTTTCGATTACTCTAGCTGTCAGAGGTTCGACGAGGCGGTATAGGCATAATTTCAGTTAGGTTTGTTGAGTTCTCAGGTTCAGGTTCTTGGTCAGTTTTATCACGTCGGAACATGACGCCCATGTTGAAAGACTCTTGGGATTGCTCTAATTGTCAGAGGTTCGACGAGGCGGTATAGGCGTAATCTCAATCAGGTTTGTTGAGTTCTCCGGTTCGGGTTCAGGTTCTTGGTCAGTTTTATCACGTCGGAACATGACGCCCATGTTGAAAGACTCTTGGACGGCGTTCACTCACTTGTGGAGGAGGAAGGCAAGTGTCAGAGTCACAACATATCCTACAATAGTAGAAACGCAAAGCGCTGTGTCAGCGGCAGACCAAGACCGAATGATTGGCACGCCAGCGGGCGGAAGGCGAGCGATAGCTTCTAAAGCTGTATCAACAGGAGTCAAATCAATAAGTTGCGTTCCTTCCTCCTTGATCCTTTCTTCCAGTTCTGGATCGAGGACGAAGGAATGCTGTTTGAAGAAGGGTGAGATTTCGAGTTCGGCCTGATACTCGTCGCCGGTAAGGTGACACAATGCTAAATCGTCAATATGGAGGATCGAACCCTTAGGGACATTGATCCATAACGTTTGGTTGGGCAGGATAATGCACGTGGCAGTGTCGTGTCGATCGTAGGTGAGGGTAGCCGTACGCGCTGGGGTGTTGACTAGCCGTCGGTTTCAACGATTTTAATGAAGGGCGTCAATCTCGATTTCAGGACCTGGATTTGAGATCAGTTAAGGGAGTTCCCTGATGAGGGAACTAGAGGGGAAAGGAATTATAGTGAGAGAGAGAGAGAAAGAGGGAATTTTTTTTTTTAAATATGTAGTTATAAAGAAAAACACAAAGAGATACAAGGACACTGAATTAAGTTAGACAGTAAGGGAGAGTTACATTTGTGGAACAACTCCTCTCTACTAGAGGTTGGTCCTAGCAGTGCGGCGGAGGAGAGTGTGTAGGTGTTGTGTTTAAGAAGGGTAGCTATATGTCTTTCTAGAACGACATAAATTATGTTAGTGTGGTGTAGAGTATGAGATTGTCGGTCTGGGTCAGTTGGTTTGATCTTCCCCCTTTTCCTGTCGGTTGGAGCCCTGGTGCCTCTTTATCTGGTTTCGATGGACCCATCGAAGGACTGGCTCGCTGCGCCCTTGGCTGATTTTGATTCGATAGGCAACAGGTGAGAGCTTGTCCACAATCTCATGGGGTCCTGTCCAGTGAGGTAGGAATTTCTTTGACAGGCGATGGGGAGCGTTCTGCCTTGGTTGGTCGAAGCTGTAGTACCACACTTTGTCTCCGACATTAAGTTCCTGGTGAGAGGCTTTTTGGTCATAGTAGGCTTTTCAACCTTCTGCACTTCTTTGGAGTTGTTGTTGCGCGAAGGCGAACGTTGTTCTCAGGTGTTGATGCAACTCCTCCAGGTACTGGTGAGTGGTATAGGCGGTGACGAGGTTCAGGTTACCAGGTTGGTACAGCAGGTGTAACGGTAGTGTCATTTGTCGCCCCGCCATCATCTCGAACGGGGGCACACCGGTAGACCGGTGAGGGGTGGCCCTGATGGCCATCATTACCAGAGGAAGCTTAATATCCCAATCCTTTTGATTGGCGGACACATACTACTTCAACATGCTGACCACTGTCCTGTTGGTACGTTCCACTTGACCTGAGGAAATTGGGTGATGGCTTATATGGAGCTTGGCCTGTATACCCAAGAGTTTCCACACTTCTTGCATGACTTCAGCGGTGAAGTGGGTTCCTCGGTCAGAGTTGACCCTTAAAGGCAGTCCGAACCTTGAGAAGATGTGGTTCATCAAAAGGCAGGCTGTTGTTTCTGCTGTATCGTTGGGAGCTGGGAGACACTCTACCCACTTTGTGAATTCGCAAACCACGGTAAGGAAGTATTTGTTACCCCTTGTTGACCGTGGT